AGAGATCACAATGTATAGATTTAAGGAAATCTCATGCAACAGGCTCAGATTCTTCTGTCTATACCAGGTCAGTTTTGACCGTATCAACTGTCAGGTCTTGAGTTGAATTACTCAGAAACCACCTTAAACTGTAATCACAAGCATGTCAAATAAAAACAGCAAAAGTCAAATCTCAGAATGAGTACGTCAGAACTGGCTGGCATCACATCTCAGGTCCAGATCTTTGAGCTTTTTTTACTTTTCTCAGTTTATGCATGTTAGAGTCGGCACAAAAACCCTATAGTAAATGATTACAAAAAACATTAGGATTAACATTCACTCAAGTGGCCCTACAACAGGATAATCTACAATCATTTTTGCAGAGTTTCTGGAGGTGTAGCCCCAGGGCCCTGAACATCAGAATGAACCCATACACTTATTAGAAGTGCAGATTCCTGGACTCCAGCCACGCCTACTGAATCAAAATTTGAGAGGTTAGGCTTGGAAATCTACATTTTTAATCATTTCTCAAATATTTTTTTTGCATACTAAACTCTGGGAACCTCTTCCAGGAGGGTGAACCCCAGAAAACTGATTTGCCTCATTTGTAAATTTCCAGCATGTGTCTTGCTTCTACAGACTATCAATAATTAATTTAACATAAAACCCATACCCCTACCATAAAAAACAGGGAGAGAATTCTGTTGATGACTTTTGTCCAAATATGCACATCTGAAGTAAGCAGACTGATATTTTATGGGAAATGCTGAAAAAACTGGGAATGAATATAAATAGAATTATCAAGGAAAACAGAGCTCAATTCTGGGCCACACACAGGTCACCATCTACTATGTACCAGATGGGGGATACAGTGATGGTTAGACGGACTAGGTCCCTACCCTTATTTTTTCCTTATTATACATTTAAATTGTTTAATATATACATAAACAAAGAAGTAAAATAATTTCGGAGAGTGGCAATGCCATGAAGACAAAAAAACAAGTTGACAGAGAAAGTCATTGGGAGGAGGGAGGCAGTGGCAGTGGCTGGCTCTATTAGATACAAGGATGAAAAGTGGTTTCCTTGAGCGGGTAACATTTGAGCTGGGACCTGAGGGAGAGAAAGCTAGTCATGAGAGGGTTGAGGGGCAAGTGCTCTAGACAGAAGAAACTATTACTAGAAAGACCCTGAGGTGAGAAAAAGGTTCGCATGAAATTATTATTGAAATTAAATCAGAAATCAGATAATACATACAAAATGTTTCATGACATAGAAAACTATTTTAAAGTATGAAGGATTATTTTTATTAATATGTTAGAATCATTTCAGGGCAGAAGCCAGGATAATGAAGGACCTCAAGTCTAAGTCATACGAAGAATTAATTCAGCAACTGTGGCTACACTGCCTGGAGATGAGGAGACACAAGTATGTGTTTGGGGGAAGAAGGGAGAAGTCTCCTTCAAATATCTGAAGGACTATGTTCTTGTGGAAGAAGATTACATTTATTTTTTTAAATAGCTCCGAGGGAGTGAAAGGAGCTTGAACTGGTAAACATTTTAGGAAGGGAGAATCTTGGCTCAACATGATAATGAACATTCAAAGGGAATTGCAGGCAAATGGAATGACTGGGAGGTAATGAATCCCACACAAGTGGAGGTTATCAAGGATGGGCTGAACAGACGCTGGCAGAGGCATGATTAGGCTCGATGATCTATAAGGACCTATGAAACCCTTTGAAAACACACACACACACACACACACACACACACACACACACACACACACACTCAGTCACAGTGTTCTCTCTCAACAAGTACTATAACCACCAATATGGCCTCTTTACTTCATACTTTACAACCTAGAGGAGGTTTTAAGAGAAACCTGAGAGATACTGAGGAATCCACCATATTCCCAATTCACGTTGTCAACCCAGAATAAAGTACATCTCCATCTCTGCAATAACCAATATATAGTTCCAAAGGGAAAATTAAGAAACAGGATAGACTAACATTCATTTTTAAAATCTGTGGCTAAGATTTAATGGTGGTTTAGCAATAACCATTAAACAATTATTTGGACCTATTAAAATAATTACTCTATTTTAACAAAAATGTGTCTGGATTCCATTAGGTTCCAATAAGTGGCATGCCAATAAATAGCCAAAGCCTTTAGCAAACGGGTATGTGGCCTTTGGTTGGTTCATTTTTTTCATGGGAGCCATAGGCCCAAGAAGATGATTTCCTCATAAAAAACCCTGACAGAGCCTCTCTACTCTTCATCATTTATGCAATCTGTCTAGAAAATAAAGCAAAAAAACAGATACTGAACTACCACTTGACCACCTGGGACCAAAATGATAAACAAATCTAACCTTCCAAGGAGAGACAGACCAAGCTAGACTTGGGAGTAAGGCTAGAAGCAACTTTGAAAAGCTAAATGTTGTTAATGACCTTTATATAAAATATGTTTCCACATCTAGATTTAAGTGGCTTATATGAAGATATACTTCAAGAAGTACTCTCTTAATATCTACATATACTTTTTGTGTATTGAATTAAGTCTACTTCTTAAAAACTACTTGTAAATAAAATTATATTATGACTCTCTTAGGACAGCTTATTAAAAGAAACTTATAAGAATCTTTCCAGAAAAGAAAGGCTACATCTGTATAATTGTACATAAAACTATACCTCATTTTATGAAATCCAGGAACAACAAAAGCCAGGGTTACAAAAAATTAAAATCAAAGATTTAATATTTAATGTAAAGAAAGTATTTATCACAGACTTTTTTGGTATAGAAATCTGTTCCTAGGGCTTAAAAATTTATATGTATGTTTACACTATTTTAGAAATATGCCTATTCCATAAAAGTTAAATATAACCTATAATGTGGACAATCACTTCCTAAATTATTTCTCTTTAGGTTCACGTGTATTTGAGTTCAGGTTTTGCAGTTTATTAAGCTTTAATCCTTCAGGTCTCAGAGTAACAGCAGGACTGGATTAGTGACCCAGAAAACCCAGGTGTTTCTGTTCTTGAGGGGGTGCCACCTAATATCATCTGGGTCGTCTAGAAACCAAACCCTTAACTGGGCACGGAGGATTAATCCTTGAGGTAAATCATTCCAAGTCCCCAAAACATTTATAGCAAGCACTCTCACTTGACTAATGCACAGAAAAGCTGTTGTACCACAAAACAATACATAGGGCTGGTAAAAGAAACCAAGCCTCCTGTCTCAAAGTCCAATGTTATCACCATGGCCATCTTTGCAGTCTCCCCTCAGCTTGAGAGAAGCCAAATTTCTGTATCAACCTCTAAGAGAAGGGCACCCTTTAGAACAATAGTGTTAACAACCTAGTTGGTGAATTTCTTTCCTCTCTGAAGATCTGAGACCTCTTGTGACTTGTTTCCTTTTCTTTTTTTTTCAAGTAACAAGAAATTAGGGCTAATTTTGGATTTTCCAAACATTCTCATCCTTAATTGAGAATGCTTATCTCTTTGTTATCCTCCCTTGCAAGAGTGTACAGTCCACCTCTTAGATCAGTGGACAAAGCTGTGAATCATCTCCCAGATGTGTATTCTACAGGTGGGAAGCACAGGACAATGGAATGGCACTATAAAACCAACAGCATTATACAGAGTTGCTTCTCCAAATTGACAGCGAATCAGAAGTAATTCTCTACCTAAATCAGGGCTTAATTCATAAGCTCACATTAATTCACAAGTTCAATCCAACTTCTCAAAATGCAATAGCACAATCTTCCAACCTGATTATCTTCACCGAAAGTATTTAAAAGCATTTGCTGAGACACCTTTCTTTCTTGTGTCAGACAGGATCAGTGTCAAGTGAACAGCTGGAGTAGACTACATTCTGTCTAATTGCAGGGGGTTGACATTTGAGGAAATAATCATTTCTTACAAGAGAGAAATTTTCCCCTGGAGTGGACATCAAAGGGTACCTCCTGGTAAATAAAGGCTTAAGTATTTGTGTGTGTGTGTGTGTGTGTGTGTGTGTGTGTGTGTGTGTGTGTGTGTGTGTGTACACACACACATATACTTTTGACATTCTGTAGAATCGGAAATATTACAATCTGGATGACTTCTACAATAATTTTAATCAACTAAGAGAAGTTTAGGACTCAAAGAAGTAATTTTTTAAAAATAGAACAAGAGAGAATTTGTAGTGAAAATGCCATCCCATATCACTACCACGCAGGAAAGTGACGGATATTTCCCTTGAAATAATCATGCGGAAACAGTTGGTTTGTTTTGAAGGCATTTATTTCAATAGCTCATTCACTAAAACCCCCTGAGCTTTAGTCCAAAAAGTTAATTTCTATTTTCTTTTGATAATCAGGAGAATCAACACACTTTTCTAAACAATCACTTTTTCATATCATTTTCTGGGAGAAAATATGTTTTAAAAGCATGTTTGGAGTGAATTTGTAAGCAAAAATTTAGTGAAAGGGAAAGAAGAACTTTTCATTCCTCAGCTCAATCTCAGCTCAAGTTTAACTTTTAAGTATTTCCTATCTTGTAAGAGTCGTTGCTGCCATTAGGCCTTTCTTTGAGAGGTGGCCAGTTTTCTCCTAACACTGTTCACTAAATTCATTTAACTCATGCCCTAGGCCAGTAACAAATCTACTTTTCCAGCTGTGATACTTTAATAGCTTAAATTTCTAAAGTAAATAGCATCCTTCGCGCCTTTGAAAACCAGTTCTGGCAGTGATTAAAGTAAAGAAATGAAACATTTAAAGAGCTTCATATCTGCACCATCAGAATGCATGTGTCAGCTATAAGCTCTATAATATATAATGAAGGGAAATGCCCAAATCCCAGAATCCGGTTTAGGCAGAGGGACTACAGATACATTTAAAAAGATGGAGAGTCAATTAACAAGTATATTATTTCATTTTCAATCTGTTATGAGACATGTACGAGTGAGAACAAACAGCATTGCTATTCAGCATTCATGAACCGAAACCACACATAAGCCATGTTCAAGCTCAAGGAACTTACCTTATACACTTGTCCGTATGTTCCATTGCCAACAAGTTCCACCAATTCAAAGATCCCTGCAGGGTCCTGAAAGAAAATAAACAATAAAAAGTCAAAACAATATTCTAGCCGTTGTCTTAATCAAAAGCAAATACGCATTTAAAATAAGCAAATAAATAACAACTTTAGCTTTGGGGGGTCTCTCATATGTTAATATTAAAGAGCATTAAAATTTAATTCAGCTGCGGCTATGAGATGAGTCAAAATCTATTTGTTTCTATTTTACGTTTCTATGAGATGTGTTTAAATCAGACAAAAGGAAACAAGACTTCGTTGAAACAATTTAAAAAAAGAATTAATGCATTTCTCACTGTCAAATGCAAATACACTTGTAGGTACATCGGGCTAAACTGAAAGGCTCACCATCCTGAAGGGGTTCCAATTTTGAAGATCCTTCTGTCTGACATTTCTGAGCTGCTCATTGTGTTGAACACTGGCAGTTCAGAAAGGAGTGCTCCTGTGTTGTGGGGCAATCTTCCCTGCAGAAGTCAACAGTTTCCAAGAGAAAATGGAATCAACCTAACTTCCTCTCTCAGAAAGTATTTCTCTGGATTCATCTCCCCTCTCGACAATGCTGCCTCTGCTAAATACGCTTTTGCGGCCTGGCCTCCAGTTCCTGCAGGACCTGGAGAGTCCTAGGCAGGATCTAGAATGCAAACGAAACTGGAGAACTATGCAAGTTCTTAGCACCGAACAGGTGTCTGCTAACCCCTCAGAGTCAGCTGTGTTAGAGCGCTCAATAAATATCCAATAATCGTGGATATTATTACCGAATTACCATCCCCAAAAGTCGAAAAGAAAAATCAAAGCCTATAAGATTCAACTCAGAGACAGAAAGTGCCTTTGGCCTCCTCTGATTCCTAACTGGACAGAAATGATTTCTTTAAAGGCCTAGCTCGCGAATCCCAAACATCCATGTCCACAGAGGCCAGGCAAGTAACGGAAAAGAGTGAGGGGGCCGCCGGGGCCTGTGACAAACTGAGGAAGTCACGTCCCCTCTGGGGGGGCAGGGGGGCCAGCTGGAACCAATCATTGTCATGTCAACCTATGAGCACAGTCTTGCCAGGTCTGAAGATTTTTTTTGAAGAAAAACTGAACATTTTGTTTCATGTGAGATCTCGTTTTTAAATGTTAGGCACGAACTCACTTTAAAAAAAACTCTGGGGGACAGATGAAAAAAACGTCAGCCTCTGGCCTAAAAAGCATTTCCCCTCTCCAGTCAACAGGTTTACAGAGCACTGCCATATGCTGTGACACTGACTGAGAAGCAGGTGGGGGAAAGCCTGGATTTTAGCTTCAGACAGGCCTGGGCCGAGCCCCAGCTCTGCCTTGTCTGGCGGCGTGATCCCAGATCTCTCCCCTGGGAGAGCAACTCAGTCTCCACGCAGATAAAACGGGGAGGACACCTACCCAGCAGAGCTCTGGGGAAGAGTAAGTGAGGGCCTAGCACCACACCTGCACGTAGTCAGCAAACCTAATATCTGACAGGAATCATTTTTAAGCTGAGGAATCCCACACCTCTAGTAGCATTTAAGGGAGAGGGGCTGCTATTCACAGGGAAGGGGACAAATGAGTTGGAGGTGACAAGTTAGAGCTCTTTAAAGTGACAGTCTTCAGCAAATCAGGCCCAAGAATAGCCCTTTGTGTTGTGTCTTCAAAGATCTCACAGAGAAAACAAATTAAAAAAGAAAAAACTAGGACAAAACAGCAACAGCTGAAGCACTTAGTCACTCACAAAGACTGCAATTAGCATTATCCATTGTTAATAAAGCCAGGAAGGCAAGAAACCCCACTCCAGACTCATGTCCCAACAGATGGAGAAGTCCAGAAGTTCCAGCTATGCCCCACCTGGTCAGGGAGGTGTGGACATCATCCCAGATGGAACCATGAGACAGGAGAACATGGGAAAAGGACCTAGAGCTCTGCAGACCGAGACCCCAGAGCTAAAAGTCACTGCCAAGGCCACCTGGGAGGTGCCTCAAGATGGGAAAGAAAAATCGTGTTTGTTAAACTACCAGGCCGTTAGAGCAGCAGGTTTTATTATGAAAGGGATTAGAAAGAAATGAGGAAAGGTGGGAGAAGTAACCCACAAATGGTGGCAGCTGCTGTTTGTTTCTAAGCTGTGCTTCCCAGTAGTTTGTTTGCGCAGTGGTGTTTCTGCAACAAATTTCAAGAGAGGTCCTACATTTGCTTGAAATATCTCAATTGTGTGTTGTTTTCTTTTTTTAATATTTATTTATTTATCTTTGGCTGCACTGGGTTTCGTTGCTGCACGCGGGCTTTCTGTAGTTGCGGTGAGCGGGGGCTGCTCTTCCTTGCGGTGCACGGGCTTCTCATTGCGGTGGCTTCTCTTGTTGCGGAGCACAGGCTCTAGGCACGCAGGCTTCAGTAGTTGTGGCACACAGGCTCAGCAGTTATGGCTCACGGGCTCTAGAGCACAGGCTCAGCAGTTGTGGCGCGCGGGCTTAGTTGCTCCGCGGCATGTGGGATCTTCCCGGACCAGGGCTTGAACCCATGTTCCCTGCATCGGCAGGCGGATTCTTAACCACTGCGCCACCAAGGAAGCCCCTCAATTGTGTTTTCAACATTCATTTTTCTTGACTAAAAAAATAAATATGAACAAAAGGAAGGAGATGTAGGATGGTGAGTACCAGCTGCCGTAAGGAGCCCGGGAAGCGTTAAGGAGGGTGGCAGGAGAGGGAGGTGCAGAGCGGGACCCACTTCTACACCCAGGGATCGCCCCACCTCACAGACCTCTCCTCAGGGCTGGTCTCAATATGAGCCAGGCAGCCTACTCCCAGGTTCCCTCCTCTCCTCAAATAGTCCATTCATAGGCATATTGGTCCAGCCAGTCGGAGCCAAAAAGGTTCAAAGCCAAGACTTTCATTCCAGCTGCTGGAAGAGAGGCTCTTCCCACTGGACACATCAACGGGCTCAGAAGCAAAAGTCAGAGGGACTACAGAGTTTGATTGGCATCCCGCCTTGGGTAAGCAGCCAAACCGGAAACAGTCGTTAAATTAGGGTGGTTCCCCAGGAAACAGACTCTGAGAATCACCGAGATTTACACAGAGGGTTAACCGGGATGTGCCTCATAATCAACGCCAGTGGGGAGTGACTGAAGAAAGCCTGGACTGAGCGGATGAAGGAAGTCAATGCAATGCAGTGGAACAAAGACTTCATCTGCTCCCACAGGAGCTCTGGAGTGGGGATGACTCTTCAGAATTGCCCTACCTTGAGGCATGGGGGCCTCTGTACCCCACCTCCATTGACTATTCATTGCATGCAGGCTGTCCCCCATCCCCGTCCCAGAGGTTATGATCTTGGGTGAAGGGACACTCTTCAGCCGAGGACAATTCCCAGGTGAGAACCATCGCTAGCCGCCTACACTCCCAGCAGGTGGAAATGAGCACCTCAGCAGTGGACAGAGAATCTGGGTGACACACATGGCATCCACTACAAGCATCCTGGCTAGAAATGAGGACCCACTTGGAACTGGAAGAGAAGTCTCCAAGCATCTACCTTCTACAGTATACTGATAGTAACAAGACAAAACGGCACAATTAGAGTCATGGTGTTTGCAAGGAGGGAAGAGAAGTCTCCAAGCATCTACCTTCTACAGTATACTGATAGTAATAAGACAAAACGGCACAATTAGAGTCATGGTGTTTGCAAGGAGGGGGCTCTCTGAGACCCTAGAAAGCACAAGGCAGAGCTATTGTTCAGGGACACTTGAACTTAGCACTGACTCTAAGCTTCCCTATTCCCTCTCCCCCAATCCAAGTACCTGGACAGCTGGATGTTTGTGAATATTCCCTCACACAAATGCATATAAATGTCAGAGACTTTGGGGAATACTGATATAGCTTGAATGTTGTAAGCATTCAGCTGTGTTCTCCATTCTTGCAGGACTCTAAGGTAATTTCTCCTGGCTCACCAGTGACCTCGATCTCTTGTTTGTAATGGTCTCTTCTCAGCCTGTCCTGGTTGTTCCCTCTGAGGCGCTGACACTGCTGAGCATCGCCACTCTTGGTGAAATCCACCCCCTCCTTTCTCTTCCGTCATCCAGTCTCTCAGAGAGATTTTTCTTTCTCCTGCCCATACCTTAAAGGTTGGCTGAGCCCAAGGTTCCGTGCTCCTGTTGTCCACTAAGTGCTAAGGATTTTATCTCCAGAAGTCCACCATATCCGTCTACTCAACCCTCTTCATACAACAGCCCTCACCATCTCTTGCTGGGACTGTTTATTTCAATCAATTCTCTCCTTTCAACCTATCCTTCACACCAATCTTTCTAAAATAGACATTTCTAAACACAACACACCACGCTTTAAAATCCTACACAAGGTGGTTCAAATTAAAAGTCAAGGTCCTGTCATTCTTAGGCCCAGCTTTCATTCCCAGCTTCATGTTCCCTGACACATCACACTTAGCCATGTCTCTCTGCCTCGGTTCATACTGTCTGCCTGCTGCGATTATTCCTTCTCCTATTCTCTGTGAGGCAAAGCCCATCCTTGAAGGTCCAGTGTGACACCTCCTCTGTGAAGCCTGTCTCAAACTAGTGCCCCTGCCTCTCTGCCCCCATAGCATGTTGTGCATGGCTCCATGATAACCACTCTCACACAGTGAGGTCCCCTCTTCCACTTCTCTCTCTTGATGAATTGCAAATGGCCTGAGAGCAAGAACGGAGCATATTTATCTTAGTGTTTCCAGCCCTTAGCACGGTGTCCAACACACAACTGCTAGACATAACTATTTACTCAATAAGGTTGATGTCCCACAATGCTCCACAATATAAGTAGAGGAAGTCACAAAAAATGGGATCCGAATGTAGAGCCAAAGGTCTAACAAGCTTACGTCATTTCTTTTTCCACCTAGACATAGCTGTCGCAGCCACTGCCCCTTCCTCACTCCCCTGACCCGGCTCCCAACTGCACAAAACTGTCACATACATAAGCTCCTATGGTCTTCCCAGCTCTAAAGAAAATTCTTAAGGGCCATTGTTGTAAGCTGTGCCTGCGGTACGTGGAGAA